ACGACGCTCCTCATTTCCGCGCCCACTTTTGAATTCCGACGACTTTAGCGAATATATACTGTGCGACCCTCTCGCTTTCAATTAAAATGCACTGGTTGTTTATGCCTCTGGCTGCTACGCCAACGAAGCCCTCGTGCCTTTATCTCGTCTATCCAATGATAATAATACTTTCGTAATGCTCACCCATAGTTAGCCAGGACAAGGGGATCTTTCACGTAAGGGAATGATGATTATCGATGCGCGACAGACAATCTGTGCCTTACCGACATTAAAACGAACATCGCTTTTCATTTTTTCTACTTTATCTAATCGGGCAACGTATCTATTATGGATTAATTTTGTCGCATCTATGATTGGGAGAGTAAGTGAAACAGACAAGTTTAAAATTGTCATTTACATCGATTATTCGATCGAATAATATAATACTAGTTAGTTTTTTTTCTTATTTTGTTGTTTTTTTTTTTAGTTTTTTTTTTTTTTTTTTTTTTTTGTTTTGTTTCAGGACGTAATTTTTAACGTTAAAAATATTTTTAAAAGACACATCGTTTATTATTTCAGTCGTATTGGTGGACCATTTGCCCTTAATTTACTCTACTTTCCAAGGGAAAGCACTGATTTATTCTTTCACATGCAAGTCGAGAATGCTCGACATCGCTTTTTCAATGGGTTTAATTGTATTTCAAGCGTCAGCTTTAACGCGATAAAGCCATTCGTTTTGCCCATGCCAATAAAGCTCTGTGATTATCGGCACGGGACGGACAAACTATTATTACAACTGAAAAAAAAATTTCATGTAATTCTTACATGTGGGAAGAGCTATTGTGACGCGATGTTGGGACACCCGACGCCCGTCAGATGTGACGGCGATACTGACGTCATATTTATCGCTGACGAGACAAATGGAAGTATAATTTAAAAAATTAATTCACCCATCGTTAAAATGATGGATGGCAGCTCGTAGTAAGTGATTTTTTTACGCTGTCCGGAGCCCCCGCGCGAATTCTCATTGGTTGGCATTCGCAGGATACCTCACTAGCACCAGCACACGACGTCGAAACGATCGTCGGAGTTACCAGAGGAACGGACCGCAGCTAGTGCTGCCTTACTCGGTCGTTTACACATTGAAGCTCCCTCCACAAGAGCCGGATTTAACCGTCATTTCTCGAATCAATTTGCCTTCCTCGTTAATGGCCTTGACAATAAGCCGTACATCGCTCGGATTCGGCCAAAGTGATCGGTCTCTGGAGAGGGGTGGGCCGCCGGCCGAGGCTGTGCAGAGGAGAAATGATTGCAAGTGCCTCGTCGACGTCGCGATTGTGAACGGGGCTTTATCATGAATCCAGCCATCGACTGGACGATAAGGCAGTGCTCGATCGCTCACCGGCCACTGGTCACGGAATCGCGGAATCGCGGAGGCGCGAACCCCAGCAGCACTTCACGACTCGTGGTTGGCAATGTCGGTGTAGAAATGCTTCTGAAATCAGTATGCGTTTGATAATCGAGGTCGCTTGATGGTCGAGCGTGGTTGAAAGGGTGATCTTTCGAGATTTAGAAAATCCGCTACCGAGGTGAATTGTCGGTGCACTTGAGTCGAGACTGAAATCCATCGAGCTCTCGTGGTTCAAAGAAGGTAAACTTGTTTATCGCTAATTGGTATTGAGATTGACGAAATGTCGAGAGGAATTGCAGATGATGGTTGACGTTAAGGAAACAAAAAAAAAGAACAAAAAAAAAAAAAAATTAGAAAGAGAGAGAAAAGTAGTCATTAAACCGGTTATTTGTTGCGCATTGAAAACATTTTCAGCCGCGTCACTCAGTGCATGAATAAATCAGTGGTAGCCGAGTTGTTTAGTACGTCGGTGCTCTCGATTGAAATTTAATTGCTTGACTCAACGAGAGGTACATTCTAGAAAAGTTAATTTTATTATTATCGCCTTCCAGACTACCGCGTTCATAACAATTTTCTACTTCGCTTTCACTTCGTCACTTCATCGTTGCTTTATACAGATAGCAGAAACTTGGTCAATTTCACATTTATTGCTGTGTGCCGAATATTTATATAGACTCCCCCCCCCCCCCCCCCCCCTAGAAGAGAATTTTTATTGATGGAATTTTTGATTACTACAATAATTTATCGATATTAATGTATATCTCTCAACAGGGATATAACGCGATATGAAAGTTCCAATCTTGTGTGAAGAAGAGTCGTTCAAAGAACTTCTTAAACGTCATTGTCTTTTTAATTCTTGACAACGACTTATCATTTTCGTATAAAGCAGCGGTAAAATTTTTACATCCTACCTACTTAAAAAATCTTTTATTATACTTGACATTTCACTCGAATGGAGGAAACATCTGTGCACTTTCATACGGTCGTTTAATCATAAAATCTTTATTTTATCCATATCTAATATTTTCTCGCTCATTAAGTTTTTTTTATTTTCTTCTGTTCACTAGATATACAAGATGGCGCAGAAACCTAAAGTTTACGTGATTGGCGTTGGCATGACAAAATTTGAGAAACCAGGAAAAAGAAATGACTTTGATTATCCCCAGATGGCTAAGGAAGCCGTCGTAAAAGCTTTGAGCGATGCCAGAGTTTCTTATGCCGACGTTAATGCCGCAGCTGTCGGATGGGTTTATGGAGATTCGACTTGCGGTCAACGAGCGCTGTATGAATTGGGATTGAGCGGATGTCCTATATATAATGTGAATAATAACTGCTCGACCGGTTCCACGGCATTGCTCATCGCCAAGCAAATTATAGAATCGGGAAACGGAGATTGTGTTTTAGCACTGGGTTTTGAAAAGATGGAGCGGGGCTCTCTATCCAGCAAATTTAACGATAGAACAAATCCAATGGATAAGCATGTAGAATTAATGGCGGATATCGCTGGTTCGTATAGTGGTCAATTTGCCGTACATAATGTAAAAGGGTAAATGAAAATTGGACGGTAACATTGTATTGTATTGATTTTATTTTTGTAGGATTAAATGAAAGTCCGATAACTGCTCAAATGTTTGGCAATGCAGGAATCGAGCACATGAATAAATATGGTACAAAACCAGAGCACTTTGCCAAAATTGCATATAAAAATCACTTACACTCCACCAACAATCCATACTCGCAGTTTCAAAATAAATATACATTAGAAGAAATAATTAATTCTCCAAAGATATTTGGACCATTGACGAAACTACAGTGTTGCCCAACTTCGGATGGTTCAGCTGCGGCTGTTCTAGCCAATGAAGATTTCGTAACCAAGCATAATCTTCAAAAACAAGCGGTTGAAATTTTGGGCATGGAAATGTCAACCGATTTGCCGACTACCTTCTCAGAGAGGAGTTGCCTAAAATTAATTGGGTATGTCCGATAAATAAATCGACTCTCGATATACCTACAAAGACTAAATACATTTCGTAATTATTCATTTATCTACAATTTAATCTGGATTTTTTACCCAATCTGAAATTTTTTCTCAGTCGAGTGCTCCCAGCATTATTCGAGTTTTCAATAAAACTGGCGTTCTAAAATTACTGAGTATGCAAATTTCTTTATTACAATTTGATTATTAGCATTTTCACACGTTTTAGCAAATCGATTAACCAAAGGACTTAAGAAATTTTTAATAGAATTTGTGTCCCAATGTAAATATCTATGTGATATTATTTATTGTATTATTGCCATGTGTATAGTAATTTTAATTGGTTCTGAGCATACGGTACCATCTATATCATAATTTCCTGTAAAAAACTTTGTCATCGTCGATGAAAATTGATATGCACGACAGCGCGTGTACAACTTGTAATTGGACATAAAATTTGTTCGTTTCAATGCTTCGGTGATGAAATAATCGCAATTATGGCACGTGGCTTAACAATCTTTTACATTCCATGTTTTCTCGACCAATTAACACATTATCGACAATGATTGCAGGTACGACATGACAAAGGACGCCGCAGAGAAGCTGTTCACGAACCTTCCTTACAGGCCAATTGACGTGGACGTCATCGAGCTTCACGACTGCTTTTCCGTGAACGAGCTCATCACGTACGAAGCCCTAGGACTCTGCGCCCCCGGCAAGGCCGGCGAGTTCGTCGACAGAGGCGACAATACCTACGGCGGCAAGTACGTGATTAATCCCAGCGGTGGACTTATTTCCAAGGGCCATCCACTGGGTGCGACGGGGTTGGCGCAGTGCGCCGAGCTCTGCTGGCAATTGCGAGGCGAGGCGGACAAGCGCCAGGTGCCCGGAGCCAAACTTGGTAAGCTCCTTGATACCCGCGATTGCTGTTTGGGTGAATCGGAAGTACCGAGGGCAGTTGTGCAACGTACTTGAATGAAAAATGCTTTTTAAGGAGCCAGAAATTTAATTTACATGAATATTAATTAATAGGTACTGCCAAGGCTTGGCAGTATTATTAACAATCTCATCATTGCGGCTAAACATTCACCAAGTCCAAAAGTTTTCCTTCCAATTTCTTATAGGGTATTAAGGATTTTTATGGGACTGTGTCTGGTGCGAGCAAATGTGTGATTGACATGTGAATACCCCCCAACTCTATGTTAAATACTTACATACACGTGTCTACATGGGATTATGATATTTTCACTCGTGCATCTAGTTAAGAATTGAATAATTACCTTCGAAATTCTTTTACTATTTATCACAATTATGCATAAAGCTTAAGAGAGAGTTAAATATTTGCCTAACATTTACTTCGAGTTTTATTTATTTAATGAAAAGACTTGAAATATGAAATTCAATAATGAAAAAAGGCACTAAAATTTGTGTATGCAAAAAGATATATGATCCGTGCGTTCATGTATATTAATGAAGTTTAATTGTGTAATGCATTTGAATGTTTCGAAGCCCATATATATATATATATAAATTTAAATCTCTGTAAGGATGAAACTGAAATAATTGACACTCGTATTTATTTGTACTGCATCGTTAACATTAGGGAAAAACTTTGAATATTTTTATCTCCTAAAGTTGTGCTAGAATAAATATACGCTTAAAGTAATTTATAAACAAGATTACGTTTAATACATTGTAAAAATTTAACGTGCGCTCGTTTATTAAAGTGAATTAATTCTTTTCGCCGGATATTAATCAATGTTAAAGTTGTGACTTGTTGTGATATATGTAAAGATAGGTTAATTCGAACAGGCCTTAGGTAATTGTCTTGTGAAATAATATTCTCTGGTAAAGCTTCGTCGATGCGTAAATATTTTTTATCTCCTCTATTGAATTAGGAAAATATTCCTATTTGCTTGGTAAAATCTGTTTATCGCAACAAATTATCGGTCGAAGAATAATAATTTTTTTGTCGAATGTAGCGTACACTTGAACCACTTGTATCGCCTATGTAATTTCAAAATCAATAATAAGCTGGACGGTCCACGGGTTTAGGCAAAACCCATTATAAACAATATAAAAATCATGAAAATCTCCGGACTTACACAACTTTACATTCCTTTCACGATGTTTTAGCGCTGCAGCACAACATAGGCTTGGGTGGAGCTGTCGTCGTGGCCTTGTACCGCCTGGGCTTTACAAATCCAGGGGCTAAAGTGCGGCCGAACCACGTAGCTGCGAAAACCGATAACATCTCGACGAATCCGGAAAGCTTCAAGGCCAACGTGCTGTTTAAGGCTCTGGAGGTCGCGATGCTCGAGGACCAAGACGGCCTAATTGACAGGGTACGCGGTATCTACGGATTCAAGGTGGTGAACGGCCCGGGCGGCAACACGGGTTACTGGGTTGTCAATGCCAAGACGGGAAAGGGCAGCGTCGAGTATAACGGGAAAACAAAGCCCGACGTCGTGTTCACCATCAGCGACACTGACGTCGTCGACTTCATATCCGGCAAGCTCAATCCCCAGAAGGCCTTCTTCCAGGGTAAAGTCAAGATACAGGGCAACATGGGCCTGGCTATGAAGCTTCCCGATCTCCAGAGACGAGCCGCCAAGAAGATCGAGCTCATACGCGCGAAACTGTAATCGGACCTCGTGCCGCTCTCGATTGCAAAAAGTGAGTCCTCTTATTATGGAGGAGAGGCCAGGGTTATGCAATGTTGGAAATGCTAATTCTCGCTATTGGACGATTGAGTAATTGATACGGTTCACTGCTAATAAGCAAGCGGAATATTTTATTCGAAACTACATCTACCGACGGCGATACTTTTGGAGATAAGAAGAGCAAAAGAAGCAGCTGAAATTTATGATGTTATTGCACGGTGATTGCATTTATAATCTATCATATTACTCTCTTGGTGTTAGTTGTAAGGGGCAGGGAAAAAGGATATAAAAATTGTCTATGCATAGCCTATAATAATAGGAGTGCACTCAACAGCTCGTACATTCGTATAGATATATTTTGTACGCCATTTTTTTCATACTATAGTCGCATTGTGAAACAATGTGCATTGTTATGTTTATTGTATATTTGGAAGGACTGTTAAAATAATCTTTATGCAAATGAATTTTAATAAAAAGTTGAAAATAAAATCACAGCACAAGTACTTGGTTGGCAATTCATTTATAAATGCTTTAGATAATCTAATGACGACTGTTGCTAAGTTACTGAGCGCTACAATTAAAAAGTTGTATTATTGAAAAGTCACATATACTTAATAATGTGGCTTTTGAATTCTCACGCAATTCTCCTTTTATCGATTGTCGCACACGTGCGTATACTCTTCTTACCGATAAACGGATTATCTTCTTCTTTAAGAGATTTGATCGTTAGAAAATGATTGGAAGAGTTTAAAAAATATTCCACCTGTGATAAATCATAGCACTTGATCAATGATACGATCTATTAACTACGCACGTAATCGTTTAATATTACTGAAAATATAACTATAAATATTTTATATATAAAGTTTTCAAGCTTTCGTAAAAAGCTACCTATTCCCTCGAATAAAATAATGCGTGAATAAAATTTCTTTTTCAAATTGTTATAAATACTTATTATTAAAATTTACTATTTTAAATGCATAGTGATTAAAAACATTTCTTATTCGTAACAATCAACAACAACAACAACAACAACAACAACAACAGTTAAAATATACATTAAAATTAAAGCAAAGGAAATTTGTTTCAATCAATTCATTAATCATCTTGTAATTTCTAATTATAATAAATTTTTTTTATTAAAATAACTTTTAATGATAACATATGCTGATCTCTATACAATTGATAAACAAGAGACTGTAAAATATCGCTTTTAAACTTGCTTTATATATATATATATATATATATATATATATATATATATATATATATATGTATGTATGTATGTATGTATATATAAAAATTGTAAAAAGTATTAACGCTGTTTTTATTTTAAAAACCAAAGTATCGTAATTGCTCTATAAATAATACTATAAAATTCAATTATTACAAGTACATTATGCAATCTAGTCAATTTAAATATGTTAGTAGTAATCAACAATAAAATTGTAGAATAAAACTCAGTGACTTACAGCTTTTAAAGTAAAAATTTACGGAGACTATGCCGGTGAATAATCTACTAAAACTCCATCTCTGCTTTCTATAAACTACCAACAACAAGTAACTTTCTTTTAACTTTTGCCTAATGTTATCTGTTTGTATATCAGGGTTAAACCTCGAGTACGGATGCACTAGACATAACGATACTTACGACACAACTTTCACGAAACAGTATGGATTCAATATGCATGCAGTTTTCATTTTAAGTGAATGCACATAACTGGTAAAATAATAATTAATAATCCAATTACGTTCTGTTTTAATGACCCACAATTGCAAACGTGTTATTAATTAACAAGCACATAATATCAACGTACTTCGTACTTGTAGCACATAAAAAGTACACATAATGCACGGGTATGGTTTAAAAATTTATTATAAAATATATATTATTCTATTTCTTATTAAGTATAATAATAAATTGAAAAATTAAGTAAATCTATAAAAAAAAAAAAAAAAAAATCCATAATAGAACAAATGCCTCGTATTCAATTAAATCAGAAATTGTTTCCTAATTATTTAATAATATTAATAAATAGACAAAGTATGCGATAAACGACTCGTTCAGTCTATTCACTTATTATAATTAATCGTATGCATGATACGTAGGTAAAATTATTTTGTAAGCATCTGAATAAAAATATCATAAGTATTAATGAGATTTGTTCTTAATTTACATGGATGAATTATTAAATTGTAAGATTTTGGAGATGAAAAATTTTGCATTTGAAATTTAAATCATTTAAACGCAAGGAAAACTTTTATAGTGAAAAATTATAAGAAAACAATTTAAGCGCAGAAATATATTTTATAAAAAAAGTAAATATACGTTTGTTTAGGAGAATATTGAATAAAAAGCATATTCCATGCGAATCAATCAACTGTTTATTAAATATTTCATTAGAACGAATGCAAATAGATGCCAATGATTATCAAGGAAAGTATAAGTTTAGAATAAGAAACATTTTCCTTATTAAAATGAAAATTAAAGTTTTTAAATGACTATTTCATCGAACGAAATTCGTATATTTCATTAATTCAAGCCTCGTAATTATGCTATTATAATGGGAAATTACATTGAAAAGGATGCAAATACAATTAACGTTGTCATTACTTGAATGACCATAAAACTTTAGTTGTGTCTTAGCTAGTCTAAAATAAAAACTTTTCTTATTTTAATAAAAGCGATATCGATGAAATATATATATATATATATATATAAGATTGCTTAGATGATGCGTGATAGATCTCTCCAACGATAACTCAAAACTAAAATAAACTGTCATAATATCAATATATATATATATATATATATATATATAAGATTGCTTAGATGATGCGTGATAGATCTCTCCAACGATAACTCAAAACTAAAATAAACTGTCATAATATCATAGATTCCGTAAAGAAATTCGCGTAAATAAATCCAATAAATATAAGAGAGTGAAATAAATGAACTGTTAGTGACTAGAACGGATGATGCGTCTGAAAATATTTTAAAGATTAAGAGAATAAAAGAAAAAAGTGCTTTAATAAGTCACTTCCAAGTCACGCAACTGGTTATATCGTTTAAGTTGTCACCCTTTCGAGAAAAAAAATCATCTTCCGTTAAATCATATTACACGTATAAAGCACGAGTGTATTTATATTATTTCCTGCTCTATATACATTTTTATTTATGACGATTAATTCAGGTACACCATTGATAATTGTAGAATCCGCCTTGTCAAGTTTCACATAACGGCTTCCCTATTCCTTCCAATCAAATATCTAATGTTTAATACTATAATTATACCTGATAAGTTCTTGATAAGCATACAGTATATTTTAGTACCCTCGGCCAGCCTCTAATGTGTCATACTCGATAACACGCCCTAAGCTATCATTTTTTAACAATTGTTTTTCCAACTTTTTACAGACCTAGACGCGCACACACACACACACGCACAAAATCGCATTTAACTTGAATGGCTTACTTGGGAAAAAAAAACAAAAAAAAAAAAATATATATATATATATATATATATATATATATGTACAATAGTTTAACTATATTTATATTTATTTTGAGAACAATGCACGTTTTCTCTTTCTTTTTTATCCATTAAATGGGCCATGAATTCTACTCAAAAGCATACATAATTAAATGATGCATTTGCACCTTTATAAATATGTGTGTCCATTTAAAATCCACTAAAGTATGTTAATGGTGGTGAAAGAGCGAATACATAAGGTGAAATACGCATTATTGCTGAATACGAGAATGCAAATAAATAGAATAAATAAAATAATAGAAACTAAACTCAATTTTCATTTCTTAAATTGCATCGAGTGAAAGGCCTTATAAATCAGCTTTACTTGGCCTATGCATAATGGATAACTTTAGCTTAAATTACCTAATCTACGTACGGTAGAGGTTGTTAACAACAACCTGCAAATAATATTCTCATTGCCGTTCCACTCAATGTCGCCGACAACTATCTAAGCAATGGTCATGAATTTTTCATGACTAATGTCTGCTTATCCCCGGGCTTTATACGTCCACTCTTCCGTTCATCAATGACTAAACTCGAGTTTGAGTATCCAAATATTGACACATCCAAATAAAAATAGAGATAAAATTCGTGCATTACGGGCTTTACTTTTTTAATGCAGATGATTATGTGACTCAATTTATACTTTTCAGAACTGCGCACGTTACCTCCACAAGCAAATACTAACTATGGACATCTTCTGGCTTTATATTAAAGCAAAAGCAGTTGGAATGAAATAAAGTTGAATAAACAGTGTAAGAGACAAATAAATGATGAATTCATCGATCCAATACCTCGATTTCCAAAACTTTTATCATGCAAGTGGAATAAAATAATATATTTCAATACTCGGCTGCCATACTAAATCGCAAGCTGTGCGAGCGTCAGCTACGACGCCAACCAACATCCTCTCATTTCCCAGGAAAACGTCTCCTTTGGGCAAATTGACAAAATTAGTTCGAGCAAGGATTGTGTTGCAGCCGTTGGCTCATTCGTATCGCAGCAAAGTCTATTGATATTTTATGAATGTGCGGTGAGTGCGAGTAGTTTTACATGTCTTGGAAGATTATTAATAAAAATGTACTTGCTCGTAATGCGGGCAGAAAGTGTAATGTAGTCGGGAAAAAGCTTTCCCTGCATGTATTGCCGATGCACGCTCACCTTTGTTCGCAAGTAGATCATTTCGACATTGGTAAAGAGCATAAATTTTTGCGTAATGTATTGTAAGTCAGATATTGAAACCAATCGATATTTTACATAAAGATATAGTCACGAAACTTTTGAAATTTTACGGCTTGTGAGAGAGTAAGTTCCACTACCGGGGAAATCACCTATCTTTTTACCTTACATAAGATTTAGAAGAACTTTAAGAAGCTTTACAATTATTATTATTATTATTGTCATTCTCACTATAATTGGACAGGAATTTATGTGCCTACTTCCATAAACGACTCGATTGATTTTATCGAAGCATTAAGTAATTTCGATAAAAGGCAAATTGCTATTTGATTGGAATTGCATTGTTTGGAAGAAAAGGCAATTTATCAAGGAATTAAGTAGCAGTCAACATAATGTGAAATAAGTTTATCTCAACATTAACTATTACCATTAAACTGTAAATCTCGATATTCGCTGTCGTTAAATCACAATCGCTATAAACAAAATTTTATATTAAATTTTTACTATTTTTATAAGCATTACTTATCTTACAAGTGACTTTGTTTGTCTGCCTTTGTAATGAGGAAAAAAAATTTAATTTATCACAACATTCGTTTACATATAGAGGGAAACTTTTTTTTTTTTTTTTTTTTTTTTTTTTTTTTTTTTTTTTTTTAAAAAAATGTGGGGAAAAAGGCGCCTCCCCCCCCCCCCCCCCCCCCCCCCCCCAGCCACCCACCTCACCATCCACAACTTTCATTTATTTCAATATTTTGTAATGTAAGACAGCGAAAGGGTTTGCCTTTTACGTCTTTGCCATTGCCAGAGTCTCAATATTATTCTCTTTCTTTACTTATTGATGCAGCACTTTAATAATAAACTGAATCCCTGATATATCGGGTACTAAGCAACTTTAATTATCTTTTACATTAAAGTAAGTGTAAAATTATTATAAT